CAGCCTCCCAAAGGCGGGGGATTACAGGCTGAGCCACCGAGCCCGGCTCAAAGTGACTTTTATATAATGGTTTTAAAACGTTATTATGGCCGGGCTTGGTGGCTCAGTCTGTAATCCCAGCACTTTGGGAGGCCGAGGCGAGTGGATTACCTGAACCCGTGGGTTCGAGACTCGCCTGGGCAACTTGGCGAGACCTCGTCTCTACAATAAAATCAAAAATTAGCTGGGCGTGGTAGCGCACGCCTGTAGTTCCAGCTACTTGGAAGGCTGAGGTGGAAGGATCGCCGGAGCCCAGCAGGTCGAGGCTGCGGTGGCCAGGAACGTGGCACTGCACTCCAGTCTGGGTGACAGTGAGACTCCAACTCAAAAACAAACAAACACACACAAAAAACTATATTATTAAAATGTTTCCAATAAAGGAGAAAGTGTATCACTTCTCTTTTGTTCAGTTTACTCTTCCAATCAATAGAGGTTAAAATGTTCACTTATTTCACCTGATGATTATGAGGAATAGCTCACAGAAATTCCTTAAGAAATGGTCAGCGCTGGTGAATTCTTTTTTATTCTAGGATTTTTTATACCGTATAATCTAACTGTAAAAACAGACATTTAAAAAAAACATTTGGGGAAGTCTGATGTGTGTTCTAGGTGCAAACAACACCACGTAACTGTTGCTAATTAGGTATAAAAGTAGCATTGTGGTTATGTAAGAAAATATGCATTTTTTTTTTTAGAGCTCCCATCAAAATATGTAGGGCTAACATGGCAAGATATCTGCGATTTTCCTTAAAATGCTTCACAAAGAAAAAAAGGAAAAAGAAATAAGGGATAGATATGGCAAACTCTTGATAACTGTAAAATTAGGGCGATGGGTATCTGGGGGTTTATCTACCATACTCTCTACTCATCAGATGTTTGAAAATACTAAACAAAACAAATAAAAAGTCTTTATAGGAACAACAACATTCTGGGTGCCTCGTGCCTGCCTTTGGGGTACAGACCTGCTTGGAGTGCTGGTTACAGGCCCTTGCTCAGCTGCCAGAACAGTGAATGAGTCGATTTGGCGCCTCCTGTGTCTTCGGGATGGATGGAGCAGGGGGTGCTCAGGGGTATCCTGAGAAGGCAGTGAGAACTCTGCGGTGGACTTACAGGCTTGTAGTGGCAGGGAGGGAAGCCTCGCCCAGCAGAGGCAGTAGTTTCACATTCTGGAATCTTTTCCTGGCTTAAGGCCCAGAGAGGAATAGTGAGCAAGATTTCTCTGACCACAGCCACTTCTGTCTTACCTTTTCTTACTTTATCCTCTCATTTTCGTCTCACATAAGCCATTACTCTTCTTGGCTACTTAAGATGAACCACTCATTCTTTTTGGAAATTGAGCTTTAAGATTTCTCTTAGTCGGGTTTGGTGGCTCACGGCTGTAGTTCCAGCTACTCAGGAGGCTGAGGCAGGATTATTTGAGTGCAGGAGTTCAAGGCTACCGTGAACTGTGATTGTGCTACTGCACTCCAGCCTGGGTGAAAGGGTGAGATTCGACTCTAAAGATAAAAATAAATAACAATAGTGAAATAAAATTCCTCGTGGAGCCGGGCTCAGTGGCTCAGCCTGTAATCCTGTGCCTTGGGAGGCTGAAGTGAGTGGATTGCCTGAGCCCGTGGATTCGAGACCCTCCTGGGCAACTTGGCGAGACCTCATCTCTACAATAATTCAAAAAATTAGCCAGGCGTGGTAGTGCGCGCCTGTAGTTCCAGCTACTTGGAAGGCCGAGGTGCGAGGATCGCCGGAGCCCAGCAGGTCCAGGCTGCGGTGGCCGGGAGCGGCCACTGCACTCCAGTCTGGGCGACAGAGTGAGACTTCAACTCAAAAAAAAAAACAAAAAATTCCTCATGGGTTGAAAATCTTCAGAATCTGTCCGAGACACGTACAAATTAGAGTCAGCAAGTTCTCTTCTCACCAAAAATTTTATTCCAGAAGGTAAGAATGCAAAACGATGAGATGTGTACAATAAGGACCTTAAAGATAAAGCACATCAACACTCTTATTTTATAATTAAACACTTGAGGCCTGAGGAAATTAAAAGGCTCACTATGTCACTCGAAAACTTGAACAGAAATAAATCGAATTTCATAACTGTTTCATGATTTTTTTTCCGTATGCACTTAACTGGCCTCAGAAAAAAGTAACTGTCCAACTGAATATTCTGATAAAAGGCAGCCTCTTACAGATGTCAAATGCTATTATTTCCTCAAGGTTTCCATTCATTAACGTAACTTTATTTTTCCTTGTGTTTGCAAGTTACTTCCACTAGGAACTGATTAAAATATAGATATTCAATTTTCTAATGTATGCATTTTTATTTCATATTTAACATTTAGAACAGGAAGGCTGCATGGTGGCATACCCGCATGGAACTTTTTCATATCCTGGCAAATATGTTTGCTATTTTTAGGTTTTGAGGATGAATGTAAGGAAACAAAAATCTAAGGAAAAGAAATTCACATGAAATGTAGGACTTTGCTATCTGAGGACTTGTCCAGGGGTTTCGTTTCACCTGTTACCACTGGCTGAACCATGCTGCAAAAGCATACTGTGATGACTCACTTTTTTTTTTTATAGATATGGCTTTTGTTCCAGTAACGAAGAGCCCTTTATCCTGGATCCTGACAGCAACATAGGAAACAGAATCGAGAGCATCACTCAACGCGTGGCAATAATAGAAGGAAAGAATAAGGTATTGTTTGTAAAAAATGAGCACTGGGATATTTATTCTAAAAATATACCCTCGGCTTCCAGTTCTAGGTTTATTGGAACCAGAAGTCATTCAGACATTCAAACAAAATTTCAGAGAGAAGAAAGACAGTATCTGAGTTGTGTCCTCATGAAGACACACGCTGCGACTACCCAGGCTGCTGTATTCTCAAATGACCACCAGTTCCAAGATCATGAGTCCTCGTTCTTAATGGGAGAGTGGCTCTGTCCTCTTGAACATCAAACTGGTCCACATCAGTGGTTCTCAATCCTGGCTGCGTATTAGAATACTCTGCCGATTATCATTGCATCTAAATCTCCAGTGTAGGGCCCAGACTCATAAAAGCCTCCCGGGTGAATCTTGCATGTCACCAAGACTGAGAGAATCACTGACAGATATAAAGTGGGATCCCAGTAAGCAAAAGCAAGTGCAAGACTTAAGGCCGAAATGGGAAAGTTTCCTTCTCACAGAGCATTATGTGTTTCCCTCTGTCTTTGCAAGGGCAAAGCCCAGGTTGGGATATGTAAGCACACACTCTCTACCAAGACTCCTTGCCCTAATCGGAGTGCCATTAGTTTTCCACTCTTCTAAGCCCCACTGAGCTTTGGCAACAGCTCACAAGCCTGGGGACCCAGAAAGCCTCAGTGGGCCTCAGATCTAGTGGCTTTTTCCTGTCCAATTAGTAAAGAATACATTTAAAAATCTACTATTGTTCAGCACAAGAATAGTGATTCTTAAAAAAAAAAATCAAATAACCCCTTGCTGAAATGTCTATTTATGCATGCATATCTTGACCTGGAATAGAGACTGTTAGCAGAGGCCACTGTCTGCCTGAATGTGGTTATGCTCACCCTGTCTATTTATTCAGCTGTATTCTTTGCATTTGAAGATGATGCAGTAGATGGCATCATTCTCCATGTAGGATTTAACAATAACAATAACGACAAATAACATCTGTATTTTTCATTATGTAAAACTTTCTGACGTATGCCAATGTCAACATCATTATTTGGCAGGCCAGAGTGGTTATCTTCATTTTAAAGATAAGAAAAACTGGGGTGATAAGATGATTAGCCCAAAGCCACACAGCTTAAAAGTATAAATGAGAAACTCAAACCAGAGTCTTCCTATTCCAGAACCCAGTGCTTTCACAGCTGACTAAGCCAATATAGAAATAGTTAAAATGGCAATGGCTTATACAAGAACACCAACAGTCACTTATCTGGGATATAAGAATAGTTTTTATAATGACAGCAGTAGCTATAGGTGGTTTACAACTCTTCTCTAACACAAATAAGCAGTAGTTCAAAACATTCCGTGATGTATAGCTGTCGATGAGAAAGCAGTTTAATGAAATACTTAGAAAAGAGGACATTGTATAAACTGGAAAGTTTAATTTGGGTGGCGTTATATTTTTTTAAAAAAAGAAACTGCCAGGTCCGGCTCAGTGGCTTAGCCTGTAATCCCAGAGCTCTGGAAGGCCGAGGTGAGTGGATTGCCCGAGCCCGCAGGTTCAAGACCCGCCCGGGCAACTTGGTGAGACCTAATCTCTACAATAAATCAAAAAATTAGGCGGGCGTGGTAGTGTGCACCTGTAGTTCCAGCTACTTGGAAGGGTGAGGCAGAAGGATCCCTGGAGCCCAGCAGGTCGAGGCTGCGGTGACCGGGAGCGTGCCACTGCACTCCAGTCTGGGCGACAGGGTGAGACTCCAACTCAAAAAAAAAGAAAAAAAACTGCCTCAGTTTATTAGACAGCAAATGAGCTGTCACCAACTACTAGAAAAATTTCAAGATGCCATTGGTTGTGTCTGTTCATTTGCCTTTTTCTGACCATATCAGGTACACGTACCATTAACTGCTGGATAGTGAAACAAGAATCTATTAGTTTAATTTCAGTGGTAACATCTAGACCTATTTCGGTATCTTATCCACAAAAATATACAATAGGAAATAAAATGGGAAATGAGAAAGTCAGGTGAGGTTTTTGATAAGCCTAAACCATGAGTAGCAGCCTGATTCTGTATATCAAACTGTCAAACGGTGGCTGAGACAAAAGAACTTCCCTGATTTTCTCCATACTAGCTTGAAACAAATTTATTGTCTTATAGTCACACAGAAGATTTTCAATATAAACATCTGCACACAGTTGGCACGTGTGTCACAGAGTCACACTCTGACACTTTCTGTCTTTATAGGCACATGCAAATCGGTTCACCTCTGTCAACCTAAGGTCTGGCCTCTAAAAAAATGGAGCTAATGATACTTGCCCTACCTTGCTTCTTGTTATAAAGATGAAATGCAATAACATCATGAGAAAGTGCTGTACACATACTCCTTTAATAAATGATCGTCCTAGCCGGGCTCGGTGGCTCAGCCTGTAATCCCGCGCCTTTGGGAGGCTGAGGTGAGTGGATTGCCTGAGCCCGCGGGTTCGAGACCCGCCTGGGCAACTTGGTGAGACCTCATCTCTACAATAAATCAAAAATTAGCCAGGCGTGGTAGCGCACGCCTGTAGTTCCAGCTACTTGGAAGGCTGAGGCGGAAGGATCGCCGGAGCCCAGCAGATCGAGGCTGTGGTGGCCGGGAGCGGCCACTGCACTCCAGTCTGGGTGACAGAGTGAGACTCCAAATCAAAAATAAAAAAAATAAAAATAAATAAATAAATGATCGTCTTATGTGCCCTAATGCAATTCCTCAAACTGACTGTGATCATCTACAATGAACACTTCATGAAACAACTGTAGGCACCGAAAAAAACCTTTAATACTCTTACTAAACAAAGCGGCTAATATTCTGCTAGCAGCTAATATTCTGTTGCAGCTGTGACTGTAACACATTAGGCTGTAAGTACATTATTGATTTCATTACCTGAATTGAGGAGAATTTCTTATTTTTAGCATCTACTAGTACAGCTTTCCGTGAGAGTGAAAAAAATGCATCTTCCCTAGGGTGGTGGCCGTAGAAGTCTTGCTATTTCTGAACTCTGTGCAGTGAGTGCTCTTTCCTTTACAGTCAAAACTGTTCTTACTTTCTAGACGTTTTAGAAAACTTTGACAGGGCTGGCCTTCCAGCCGCACTCCTCCACAGATCATGGGACAGCCGCATGCAAACGCTGGAGAACCTGATGGGCTTTTTTCTTTCTTTTTTTTTCTAAACTCAAGGAAGGGTATAGAGGACAATAAAATGCAGTTTCCTTACTGGCAAGTTTTGGCCACGATTTGTGAAAAGTGAGTCATCAAGCGGAGTTGCTAACAGCGAATGTGGCGTGTTTGTGTTGTCTAGAGGGGGCTGCCAGGGTGTCAGGTTTGTACATATGAAGGAGGAAGTGGAAGGTGCCTGTGTTAGAAAAGACACAGGAAATAGGTATCGCAGCGTTCATTCTGTAAGGCTGGAGGACTGTGACAATGTTAATGTTTTAGCAACATTTCTATTGAATTCGTTTTGACGCACATTGAAAGGTATGTGTCCTGGATGAGACAGATCCGTGACGGAAGCAATAATGCCAGTCACAGAATTACAGCTTGCCTTTCAGTTCCCACCACTCCACTTTTTTCTAATTCTCAGGTTCCATTTTCCCATCAGTTGGCTCAAATGTGCGACCCTGTGCTAATTTTAGATTCTTCCATGACCTTTACACATCTACTTTTAATTCCCCATGAAACACTTAAGAGGGAGCTATATTAGAGACACCCAAGATTAAAATCACTGCTCCATATATAGACTTTTTAAAAACCAGTGCTGGAAATCAGGATGAATAACATATCTCCTCATCCATTCTATTCCATGAGGTTCAAACAACATTGTAGTAATGAATCACTAATGCTTAGCGAAAGGGAAGGAAGGAAGGAAGGAAAGAGCATGAAGAAACTCCAAACTTACAGCACTTAATGATAGTTTTATGAGCATTCCTGGGTCACACAGAAGCGCCCAAAGTGTGGATTTGAAGGCTCTGTTTCTAATGTCTAAATCCCTGCGGTCCCGGCAGGGTAAGTGGAAGCACCCTCAGAGTGGAAGCCACCCAAAAGGAAACGTGGTGAAATAAGGTGGCAAAAAGCTGAATCCTTTGGGAGTCCAACAACTACATCAACCGTGAATGAACTTTTTTACATGTTGTGGGTGGATGTGTTCGTCGTCATCGTGAGGCACTGTGACCCTTAAGTAGATGTGAAAGAACTCTTACCTCGTATCTTCTGACCGACGTGAACTTGGATATTCTAATTTTACTGGCACTTCTGCTCTCTCTCTCCCTCAGTGCTCTTTATTTCATTTTCAGATGTAGAAAATGAAAATGAGTTCTAGAACAAACACAAGCAGATAGCCTTGAGAATTTCTTTTGGTGTATCTTATAAAATAAGTGGTTAGAATTTCAAGTATGTGTCGCAACTCAAATTCTTGGTACTTTCTCGTTTAAAGTATTTGGTTGATGTTTGGTGCTCCAGCTGCTGTGCTATTCTCATTTTTTGTCCCTTGACACTGTAATATTTGGGTTATGAGCACTGGGGAAAAGAATTTTTCCCTTAACTCGGAAGATTCGTACATTGAAACTTACTGTCCTATGAGAAACTGTCTTCTAGTCCAGCCAAATGACACTGACCTACACCTCACACTTGAGTGCCTTTCTCTGACCCTATACAGTTTAAACTTTAATTGTCCAATATTTAAAAATGAAAATACATTTGATTTATAAATTAAAAACATATCCTCTGAAAGAAGAGAAATATTTTAGAAATGATATCATTTTTAATAAGGTTGATCATAGGATATATCTCACCTTATTTTTAAAGTTTCTTCTTTAATTATAACCTTTTCATCCATCAAATGTATTCTCAGGCCACATAATGTTATAGCAGTTGAAAACCACTTTCAGCTTATATAAAATGCTATCAAAGAAGAAAACTAGCATTTCGGTACATTGCAGCATTTAGCTTATGTAAGCCATTGCTGCATCGCTGCTAATTAAAGGAGCTATGTTCAAGGAAAATCTCAGCTCAAAATTGTAGACAGAACTTCTCCAAAAGATCTGTGTTATTCAGCTTAAAGAGTTTTAAGGTGAGAAGCAATTGGGTATAGAGATTAAGAGCACAGGCACTAGAGTGAAACACACCTAGGCCTAAGTTTTGCCCAGGCCTATCTGTGGTCCGGTGTATCTCTGGATGAATCACTTTATCTCTGTAAGCCTCAGTTGCCTCATCTGTAGAAGAGGGTAATAGGCCCATCTCACAGGGCTATAGGAAGGATTATACGAGGTAATGCCTGTAAAGTGCCAGTACACTGTCTGGCACACAGCAAGGACTACCCAAAGGCACCCTGAAGCAAATAAATAATGTAAATTCCCACTAGCATCATTTTCGACTTCTATTTTAAGCCAAGTTTTGGAGAAATGAGCTCTGGGGCAGGCCTGACTGCAAGCAATGTGTCTGTTTTGGTAGGTGTCATTCAGAACAAAGACTAATGCACTTATGGTTCATCATTTAGCACGTGACCTGGATTCACTTCACTTCTGGGTTCCTCAGTTTTATTCTGATTATACAAAAATTCCGCCCTATTTGACTGTTTGTTGGAGACTTGCAAAATGGTCACAGCCATTCCCAGCTTACCTGCACAGGCCTTAAATGTGGCTATGTATACATCTGATTCTTGGTTCTTCCCTTGCATGAAACCCAGTTCTTGTTCTCAGCTGCTCTGAGTTCGGCGAAATCAAAATCATTTTAATAAAAGCCCGGGGGGTGGGGGGGACCCAAACACAATTACCTTAGAGATACAGGTAATTGCTGTCCATAACTTCAAACATTCTCAAGCCAAGAGAACTGGATTTTTCTCTTATTTATTGAGCAACAATAAATCTGAGAATCGAAGTAGGTTTCTACTCAGGCCCATTATGATAAACACTTGAGAACCACATAAGAAAAACAGTGCTTGAGCAGACAGGCAAGCATGAGAAGGCTTCATTTGAAAGCTTCTTGTTTCTGAACTTTTTGCAAACTGCTTTGAAGCATCTGAGCCGGAGCTTCCTGAGAAACATAAGAGAGTCAGAGTCTTACTTGATGGTTTCTATCTACTGCCTTTCCAGCTGCCATCAGCAAACAGGCCAGTCATGCTGCTGCCTACAAGCTTCTTTTCTATTTCCATTTTCTTCTGACTCTTAAGTGGCAGGTGTAATAATGAAAAGGAACTGGCTATCTAGACTTCTATTTCCCATCTCTTCTAAAGATCAATAGTCAAAATAAGGAAAGAAATCTGTCTGTCATACTCTTCCCCACCTGTTCTTTGCTTTCATGTAAGTGTTTCTTTGCAAAAGAGAGAATAATCTATATTGGGTCTTCAAGTAGGGAAATCATTCACCATCAACTCAAAGGCAGTTAAGAGTAGAAATTGTGCCATATTCATCTCTCTTCCTTACATCTGAGCGATGCCTTGATAATTACTCAATAAATGTCTGCTAAATTGAATGATTAAAATGCTACATATTGCAGACATTTGACCAATAATTTCAAGAATACACAGAGAAAATGTGGGTGGGTGTAATTAAGCAGAGCCTTCCAACCGATGGAAGAGAAAGGATCGTATGATAGTCACTGTGGCGTAATGAAAATCACAGAGAACTTGGGCTGATACATTTGCTGGCTAAAGAAATTAGGAGCATGTCATTAAGTCTTTCTCGCCTGTTGATTAAAGAAATACCTTCATTTATCAGGTGGGATAAGAGAGCACAAGTCAAGTCCTAGCACATTCCTTAGAAACTCAGAAAAATGTCCAGACCATGTGCAGAGTATGTCCACTGCCTTGGAAATTCTGCTGCTACATTTCAGCCTCTACTGACACACTTCTGCTAGGACACCCGTGAATGTAAAAGCCTCAGCATAGTCGCTGTAGTGTCAAAGCCTATAACCAGTTATTTGTGTCCTAGGATACAGGCTGCAAAGATTTATGAGTAACTAGATCAAGTTTTGTTTTGTTTTTATAATTTTAAGTATGAAAAAAGGTCTTTCATGCAAGGCTGAGTTAAATTCAAGAACACGCAATCATTTGTTTCATATTGTTCATTTTTTTCTTTAAAGGAAGACAATGCAAGTCATTAAGCTGTCTAAATTTTTGTTTTATTACTTTTTAGATATCACAGTTTGAAAAGTGCTTTCATGTTCATGCAAATTTGACTGCTGATGTTTCTTTAGGGACTAAGTTGTCAAATAGCACTAAAATCGAGTGGAACAGTATTATATTAATTCATAATTTATGTCTTCATTTTCTAGATTAGGAATTGACAGAACTGACAAATTAAGTAATTTACAAGCATACACACACACACACACACACACACACACACACAGTCTCTTTCAGGGCCATTCAGGGCTGCATGTCACATTATTTGAGCACATTTTTTTTAAAAAGTTTCAAGCGGGTTCAGTGGTGTACAACTGCAGTCCCAGCTAATTGGGAGGTTGAGGTGGGAGTATTGCTTGAGCCCAGGAATTCAAGTCCCTGGGCAACATAGCAAGACCTCATTCTTTTTTAAAAAAATGTTTTAGCCAAACCTTCTCTTCTGCCCTTACTCACTTAACATGTCCATTCTAGAAACAAACAGCAGAGAAAGCTCCTGTTACCAAATGGCACCCATGCTCTCAGGTCACCCAAACAAAAGACCCTCTGCCTCACCTGTTCCTCTCATTGACAAGGAACTGACCACCTGGTGGGGCAGGACGTGCAGTCCCACATCTCGGCTTCAGGTCTGTAATTGTTACACCAGCAGCCCGAGGTAAATAAGCCTGAAACCCTCATATGAGTCGGATGTCATCGGCCCCGGTCTCCTGAGGACCTGCTTTCCTGTTATTTTTCCATTCTTGCTGGGACTCGACTGGGGAGAGCTTTCTGGTAACCACCACCCATGCAATACTCTCCGTGGCAAATCAATGGAATAGCTCAATTGTGTCAGAAGTAGCTTAGGGATGTTAGAACAGTTCTTTGTCCTGTTGCTAACTGAAGCTTCCTTTCCTTTTGCAGACGGCTAGCACCTTGGTTGTGGCTGACTCTAGAATTTCTGGAATCTACAGTTGCGTGGCTTCCAATAAAGTAGGGACTGTGGAGAGAAACATAAGCTATTATGTCACAGGTAAGCCACACCGCCTGTACTCACAGACAGCCTGGTGACCTGTATCTCTTCAATCTTGCTTGCTTCTAGTGCACTTATGGCTTGAGTGATTCTTTTCTTAAAAACATTCCATAGAATTGTCAAACTTTGAGTGCCTTCATCCTTGCTTTCAGAAATAGAATTCTACTCATCGGTTCTCCTAAAGGGTTATTTCCCTGAATTCTCTTGTAGAGTTGTTTGTGTGTCTGTCTGTCTCCCAGACTAGACTGAATCTGGGGTCCTGGATGTTCATTTATTTCACTCCCTTCGGTGTCCAGCACTGAAGGTCTAGCACACAGCAGTTGTTCAATAACAATCAAGGAAACCAGCAACAATCAAGGACTCCAAAAAAAGAGAGACAGAGAGAAGTGGAAAGGAAATCATTTTTGCATTTATCCAAGTAGAGCAAGCCCCCTTTATTTAGAGGATTCAGACAGATTTCACAGCGATTATTCTCTACTAAGCCCCAGATAATTTAGACTCATTCAATACCAAGGTTTGCACAGTTCTCTATATTGATCTGGAAACAAGTTACCATCTAAATCTACAAGCATATGGTAACCCATTTGTTTTTTTTAAAAAGTAAGAAAGCTAGCCGGACTTGGTGGCTCAACCTGTAATTCCACGCCTTTGGGAGGCTGAGGTGAGTGGATTGCCTGAGCCCACGGGTTCGAGACCTGCCTGGGCAGCGAGCCTCATCTCTACAATAAATCAAAAAAAATCAGCCGGGCGTGGTAGTGCACGCCTATAATTCCGGCTACTTGGAAGACTGAGGTGGAAGGATCGCCGGAGCCCAGCAGGTCGAGGCTGCGGTGGCCGGGAGCGGCCACTGTACTCCAGTCTGGGCGACAGAGTAAGAGTCCAACTCAAAAAAAAAAAAAAAAAAAAAGTAAGAAAGCTAATTGTTTCACAACTAAAGTAATTTAGACTTTTGGGGGAGTGAGGACTATAGAAATCTGAGACTTGGCCTTGTTAAATGGGCTATTTTTTAGTAGCATTTAAATTCTTTTTAGCCTTAAATATGATGGTCTCTGCGACTCTTAAGACTTCCAAGGTACACAGTGGCACTCCCCATGTCCCTTCGTGGGCACTACAGGAAGGAAGCAAGCAGCTCAAAGTATGAAAACAATTGCGTGCTCCACACTCTCCCAATTTCGGAGGAAAACTGGGCCATTTGCCTATTCTCTGGAAACCTCGCACTGCACGGGGCAGGCTGCAGGAATTGCCAAGAAGTCTCCAGAAAGAAATAACCCATCCAATTGCAGGAGACAAATGGGTTGTCAGATCACAGGAGCCTTCTGGCAGGTGAGCCAAGCCCCAGAGAAGCTATGCCCTGCGAGGTGGCCTCGAGTCTCCCAGAATGCCAGAGCTGGAAGGGACTCTAGTAGCCGTTCCGCATGTCAACCCCTGCACGTTCCAGATGTGCAGATGGGACCTGGTGAGTGAAGAGGCCCACAGCAAAGCTCTAGACCAAGTCAGTCCCTGTGTCTCACGTTGGAGACGCAGAAGGGGACTCAGCCGGGTGTGGTGGTGCACACCTGCAGTCCCAGCTGGTCAGGAGGCTAAGAAGGGTGGGTCCCTTCAGCCTACGAGCTCGAGGCTGCAGTGAGCCATGATTATGCCACTCTAGTCTGGGCAACAGAGTAAGACCCTGACTCCAAAAAGAACGAGAGAGAGAGAGATGGAAGGGAAATCATCTTTGCATCCATCCCGAGTAGGGCAAGCCCCTTAGAGGATTCAGGCAGATTTCACAGTGATTATTCTTTAGCAAGTCCCAGATAATTTAGACTCATTCAAGACCAAGGTCTGCACTGTCTTCTATACTGACTTGGAAATAAGTTACCATCTAAGTCCACAGCCACTGTATGTCCGATTTAGAACACGAAAGACTAAACAATTCCTATTCTGTTCTGAACATTCAACAAGTATGCAGCAGTTTAATGAGCACAATTAAATCACACAGCCTGGCCAGGCTCGGTGGCTCAGCCTGTAATCCCAGTACTTTGGGAGGCCAAGGCGAGTGGATTGCCTGAGCCCGTGGGTTCGAGACCCGCCCGGGGAACTTGGCAAGACCTCATCTCTACAATAAATCAAAAATTAGCTGGGCGTGGTAGCCCGCACCTGTAGTTCCAGCTACTTGGAAGGCTGAGGCGGAAGGATCGCTGGAGCCTAGCAGGTTGAGGCTGTGGCGGCCGGGAGTGTGCCACTGCACTCCAGTCTGGGCAACGGAGTGAGACTCCAACTCAAAATAAATTAATAAATAAATTGCACAGCGCAACTCTGTGCTGAGCACTTACAGGGACACCAGTCCTTACAGGAAGACAGTTCTACCATCAAGCAAACAAAGAAGAAATGTTAAATTACATACATCCTAGTATCAACACATACGTGTAGAAGTAACGTGATGGATGAATTTACTTGCTAACGCTGTCACTGTCCAGTAGAGATATAACAAAAGCCATATATGTAATTTACATTTTCTAGAAATCACATTTTTTAAAAGTAAAATTAACTTTATTTAACCTAATATATCCAAAATATTATAATTTTAATATATAATCAATATTTTGAAAAGCATTACGCTGCTTCAGTTTTTAAATTTAAATCTATTTAAATAAAATCAAATAAATTGAATATACTTTGGTTCCTCATTCACCTAGTCATGTTTCAAGTGCTCAGAAGCCACTCGTGGCTCATGGGTTCTGACTGGACAGTGCAGCTCTGAACCCCTAAGGAGGCAGGACTTGAGGGGGTCCAGGGAAGGGATGAAATTCAAATAGCTAGAGAGACAAGGACAGGCCTGCCCTGACATTTTCAGAGCCAAGGCAAGAGTACCAGTGGAGGCCCACAAACCATGCGTGTAACTACTGGCAAGTTCTAAATCAAGCAAACAAGCCGTTAATTAGGTTTCAGCTCCCTAAGACAAATATGCTTTCATGGTGACCTGCAAGGCCAGGATTAGAGCCCGGGGACTGCTCAGAGCTCCAGAGCAGACTGTGGCAGCACGTGGCCGTGCAGAAGAGCTGGCTTATGCATTCCCTCTTTGCCCCGCACTGCAAGACGTCATGCACCCACGAGTGCAGTGTCCCCAAGCCACATACTCTGACTCTGCCCTTGCCCCTTACAGACCATCTTCTTGGACGGACTCAGAATTGTGTACAGTGATGAGCCGTTGGTTTCAGGAGGCCAGACCAGGGAAAGAGGGAAGAGGCTGAGCTAACCTGGAAGCAGACCTGGGGCCGTTTTTAGGGAATTCTGAGATCCCAGAGACCCTGAGCATGATATAGGAGTGACACAGGCATGGGAAGCCATGCTGCCCTGGCCCTACAAACACTTCACATGGTGGAGAGGGCACAGCCAGAATGGAGCCATCTAAATGCCCAGAAAACAAGGACCCTTCTTGTCTGGGTCCGAGGGCAGTAATCGAAGAGGACATGCTGAGAGCAGAGGGGAATGTCATGCCCACCCCCTTGCTGTTCAGTTCCCAAGAAAAGTTCATTGATGCCTAGCGTTAATTACAGCACACACATCTGGCTATTCTGCTGAGTCTCTCATTGCGGTATCATATTTCCACGCATTATTGCTAGAAGGGCCCAAGCTCACAAAGTTGATCACCTACTAGATTCAGGCAGAAATCCCCTCCCACTTCTCACCACATTATACAATTCATAACCACGGAGGAGGTGAAAACTTTTCTAGAGCCCAAGGCTTACCTATAGAAAGGTACAATGAGAATTCAATTCAAACATACCTACTTGAAGCTCCCAACACTTTCCCCCTAGAATGTCAAGAGCTTTAGTCTTAGAACTGAACACGAGTTCAGCCATTCAAGTCCCCACTGCCTGGAATATACTTTCTCTGAATTTATTTCTACCAGTTCTAGTTTTGATAAGTGATAATCGATTGACTTGCTTACATGCATTATTTATTTGTATAATTATTATCTTTCTTCTTACAAACATCTTTGTCACGAGATTTATCCTCACTAGAGATGAAACTAAATACTCATAGAATGTTGCACCTTGCCTCTGTGTTTTCTGAAAAATGGATGCATGTGTGTTCACTGTTCATACTTGACTCAGTGAGGGTGATGCTTTAAAGGCGACCATCTAAATTGTGAATGGTCTGCAGATCTTTACTGGTCCTCATTTCTATTAAAATACAGCCTTCCTTAAAATACAGTCACTTACAACCGGACACGGTGGCTCATGCCTATAATCCCAGCACTTTGGGAGGTGGAGGCAAGAGGATTGCCTGAGTCCATGGGTTTGAGACCAGCCTGGGCAACATGGCAAGACCTCGTCTCTACAATAAATCAAAAAATTAGCCAGGCGTGGTGGCGCATGCCTATAGTTCCAGCTACTTGGAAGGCTGAGGTGGAAGGATCACCTAACCCCAGCAGGTCGAGGCAGCAGTGGCCGTGAGTGTGCCACTGCGCTCCAGCCTAGGTGGCAGAGTGAGACTCCAACTAAAAAAAATAAATACAGCAGCTTAGCGTTGCCTTCCAAATGATGAGAACTGGCAAACGGTGACCCTTAGAGCCCTTGACTGCTCTGTCTCCCAACTCTGCCACTCACCTGCACACACCATCCTCTCGAAAGAAGCAGAACTTCCTAGAAACCTCTCACATTCTTCGCAGACAATTTATTTCCATTTTTCAGTGGGAGTAAAGTCTTTTTCATTTCTGCCTGACAGATGAGATCTCTTTCATCCCTTTGAATGTCTGTGCTTGTCTCTTTCGTGAACTTAATCCACATGACTGAGCCAATGGGGTCGAAATGTCTACCCCCAAATATGCACTTTTATAAACAGATTACTCTTCCACCTACCCCGAGGTTGACTGCTTCTCCTAAGCAAGGGTTCATTCTCCTACAGGACACCCCATCAGATGCCATGGGTGTTATACGTGTCAGCTGGATGACTGTTATTTGGTGGTGATGATCTATGAATCCACAGCAGATACTTCAGTGTGGGAAGATTTCTTGTTTTCACTTTTAGGGTTAGACGGCAATTCTTTCTTGGGTCTGTTTTTGTTCTCAGACTAAAAAAGTCAACAGGAATTAAAGGGAAAATCCCTCTGGGTTCATTAAGTCGTTGAGGACATACTATTTATCTTCACCTGTGGATTAAAAGAGAATACCAAAGGGGTAATGCTGAGAAATAGTCATTTCTAAGAGGCTGTCTGATAACACAAATCAAATTAGCTTTAGTGATGATGTCCCTATAGAAGAAACAGGCCTCAAAACGAATTCAGTTCCTTTCTTTTCCTATGTGTGTGTTTTTGCTGTTTTGCTGGCTCTCAGCATGGCTAGGGTGTGTTAGCAATTACTGAGAGTGAAACAGGAACAGCACTGCCTTATCTCCCTGGTTTCCCAATGTCACTAAATGCATTTTATTTTGAGATTCCTGGTGGTGCTTGGCAAAGATAAACAAAATCTTCCATCAGGAAACCTGTGAGCTATTTCCACAGGAAGTTTCAAATCACTAAAGTAAATAGAAACTCTCTACATGATCTCAGTGGTGTTACTTGGGCTTGCTTGTGTTCTCACTACCAGGGTGAGACCCCATAAGTGGGAAGACGGTGGTCTCTTAAGAAGTAGCCCCATCGCCACCAGTGGACCATACCTCTGCTCTCGTGTCTGTGCAAAAGCTGGTAGCGGATGCTTTAACTCCTCATGCTTTGAAAACGCCTCTCATGTAAAAAGATGCTGGATTCGAGCAGCAATTTCTGACAACTTCTTGTTGTCTTTAAAATGACTGTCAGCGCCTCCTGCATCTTCTGGTACATTCTTAGATTTTCGTTTTAAAAGCAGGAAAGCTTTCCCTTGTGTCCTCTCTCCTCAGTCACTGACAGCTTCATAAGCCACTGCTACGCCCCGCTCCCAGGTTTCACATGAATGCTTTGGCATTTCTTCAGACATAACACTTTAGAATGAAGCCAAAGCTCAGAAAAATCAGAAAAACAAGCAAAGTGAGATTGAGGAAAGAGCTGATATGATATCTAATTTTGGACTATTGTCCCCTCAACGTTTAAAGGTTTCTTTACAGCTTTGTGTGCAGAGGACAATAATAATAATAGCATAACATGGTGCTTTTCATCTTCAAAGCACTTTGTAAAATGTTGGCCCAAATTCTTTGCTCAAATATAGATACACCACTAGTAATAAGCAATGGGAAGAAGGTCTGAGAGCAGGTCAGCTCAGGGCCAGTAGCCACTGATTTTTTTCTAAGTCCTGTAAAATGGTCCAGAACCATACTAGGAACTCTCAGCCCAAAAGTGAAATGACAGTTCAGGATAGGAATGCTGGGAGTGGGCGGGGTGGGGTGCTGTCTCCAGAGGTGCCAGAGATGAAAATGGAGACTAGCTGGAGTCCACACTGGAGAAAATGGCTTCAGTGACACAGTCGCCCTCAGAACATGTTTCACAGGAAATCTGATCTTTAAAATTATTCTCCCCATCCCCTTATCACCCCTGCTGTGTAAGCTGACAACATTTCCAGATTCGCTCTCTACATTTCAGGAGAAATCTTTACTCTGTGATGTCTTCGTACAAACTTCACCATAAAGGGGTCCTGAGCCTGTCACCTGGCTCTTCTCTGACTCACTGTGCCCAAGTAATTTGGGATGGCAGCGGGAGGGGGCATTGACAGTTGCTTTTTCACTAGAAAAGCTTAGGGCAAAAGTGGCACTGACTGGCATGTACCTGGGACTTCCTGTTCTCACTTGTTCACAAGCTATTTTGGATAAGTTTGACTACAGATGCATCTTTGGTTTGTAGTACAAATCTCTCTTCTGTTACTTCACTTTTTTGCTCACTTCAAATGTCCACTTACCGGTAGTACGTATGTGATAAAGAAATGGGATGCAAGGTTAGCAACCCAAGTTGGGGAAAACATTCTGCTCTGAAAAATAGCTCGGGGCAAAAAAAACTAAGAAGGTGCCCTGCTAGCAACTATCCTGTCTTATGTTTCCCCCTCACTTCCGGTGGAATGAATTCAATTGGTTCTTACCGGACATGTTGAATCAGTTCTCTCAAAATAAAAAAATAAAAACTCATCCTTTTCAATCCTGATGCTGAGAGAATGTATGCAGGTATAATTCTTAAGCTCTCTAGACATGTCCATACGAGGCATTGGTTTTTCTGTGAACTGAAGTGCTTTTTTCTTATTTTCTAGACGTGCCAAATGGGTTTCATGTGAACTTGGAAAAAATGCCTACAGAGGGAGAGGACCTGAAACTGTCTTGCACAGTTAACAAGTTCTTATACAGAGACATTACTTGGATCTTACTGCGGACAGTTAATAACAGAACAATGCACCACAGCATTAGCAAGCAAAAAATGGCCATCACTCACGAGTACTCCATAATTCTAAACCTTATCATCAAGAACGTTTCCCAGGAAGATTCGGGCACCTATGCCTGCAGAGCCAGGAATGTATACACAGGGGAAGAAATCCTTCAGAAGAAAGAAGTTACAATTAGAGGTGAGCACTGCAACAAAAAGGCTGTTTTCTCTCGGATTTCCAAATTTAAAAGCACAAGGAATGATTGTACCACACAAAATAATGTAAAACATTAAAGGACTCATTAAAAAGTAACAGTTGTCTCCTATCATCTTGATTTATTGTCACTGTTGCTAACTTTCAGGCTCAGAGGAGATGCTCCTCCCAAAATGAGTTCGGAGATGATAGCAGTAATAATGAGACCCCCCCAGGCCCAGCTCTGGGTCCGGAGGCTGCCCTGGGGCTGACTTGGTGCCCTTTGGATTTGGAGGATCCCTGCACTGCATTCTCTGTGTTTTTTGCTCTCGCTGTTTTCTCCTGCCTGATAAACAACAACTTGGGACTGATCCTTTCCTTCCACTTTGATGCCAACCTCTTTTTATGTTTAAGTGTTGAAGCTGCACAAACTGAATAATTTAAACAAATGTTGGTTTCTGCCAAAGATGGACGTGAATAAGTTAATTTTCCAGCTCAGAATGAGTACCGTCGAATCGAGGCTCTGTCGGACTTCTGCCTGGTTTTGTTTTGTACTATTTCATCTGCTCTTGATTTGTAAATAGTACCTGGATAGCAAGTTATAATGCTTATTTATTTGAAAATGCTTGGTTTTTTTTTTTCTTAATTAAGCCCATTAATCTTAAACTGGAGCTTCTAAAATGGGCCCCAGGGGTGCAAGATGTTGGTGTCATTCTGACATTCTGAGAAAGTAAAGCTTTATACCACAGTGTGAGTTACGAGAGCCCACCCAAATCAGCCTGTCTCCCTCTTTCACACAATGGAGGTAATTATGCAGTTAGTACCACAGGCCAGCGAAGGGCTTCCTCCTCATTGCCTCTGACTGGACTGTCACAGCACCTGAAAGAAAGTGGATCGTGCCTTAATTTTCAGTATTATTGTCCCCTGGTTATTCTTTTAAAGAACATTATCATGTTAAAATGATAGTATTGAAAGTTGTGCTACAATCAACTTGTCCAGGAAATAAAGGCTATTGTAACCAGAGGTTTAATGCATTCTTCTCAATGTAAATTCAAAAGTTGTGCATTACAAAAAAATCCACTTTTCCCATATGCAAATGTAAATAGGATTTTTATGGGGATTAAGACATGGTAAAACTACAAAAGGAAAAATCAAAGTTGTTTCAAAAGTACACCATTTTTTAATTAAGGGAGATTGCAATCTCTCGTTTTAGCCTGCATTTGAGAGAAAAATGACTTTTGCACCAATTTAATAAGCATTGTTCTGTTGTTTTCATTTATGATTGATCATTATATGTGACTTGCATGAACTATAGGGAAAAAAAATTACTATAATGACCAAAATAGCCATGGCTGTGGAACACAGTAGCTGGGCCGTTTAACGGGAGGTGACAACATGACAACTTTCCAAGCTTGGGAACTCACCAGACTGTTTCCTCCTTGGGGTAACAGACTCCGTCCCACGGCTAAACTTGTCTTTCACGTGGGAATTGCTTTTGTCAAGTGTGAAAGAGTAAACAATAGCATTTCCCCAGAATGCTAGTTTTATGGAGCTCCAAATGCTCTGAAAACAATTAGTAACCTGGAAGTTGTCAGCCCAGAGGAAAGAATAATCAATTGTATCTTGAAATTTTACCTATGGCTTTTTGGCCTGGTGTCTTTGTTCATTATAAGTCAGTGTGTTCCTTCAGGAAACAATGCCTTAGTACCACAGAACTTGAAGACCTTAATTCTTAATTTTTGCTAACACTAAAAATGTAAATAGAATGACTTAAGGCTCTCTTATGGAAAAAATGGTGACCTGGACATGCAAACCTACCATTTCTTTCCCTTTATTACAATTTTTGTGAGGAGGATGTTAGTATTTACAGAAGATGGTTTTAAGTATCTCCAAAAGATCACGAATTCCATGGAGTATTAATTGTTCATTGTTTAATCCTTCTGTAGAGCTTTTGCTTCCTTTTTTTTTTTTTTTTTTTAAGAAATTACTGAGTGGGTTTTGTTGTGTGCTAGTTACTCTCTGGGGTATGAAGCGAGGTAAGGATAACAGAGGGGAAAATAAAAAGGAAAAAGACTCTAAATGGAGAACAATTGAGATGGAGTGTGGGGTCTGAGGCTGGTTCCTCGGTCCCCATCCCAAAAGGAGAATAGAAACTTTGCATTTATGGGACCTGGCAGCTCTCTGGGGCCGTAACACTGACCAATTAAAAGAAGGACCTGGTAGAGAGTTATCTTTGGCTACTGATAACCAGTTAATCCTGATATTCTCAGTTTGAAGGGATCAGCTACACCTTGGTAGATTTTGGAAAGCAGCCATCCACTTCCATCCAGTAAACTTAGGTTTTAAAATAGGGGTTCCATGCACTGCTCTTATTTTTAAATGTCAGAATAGATTATTATAATGTATTGAAGGGGAAAGTTGACGAAACAGTTCTCCTGGGTTGATTGGCCATTTAGAAACTAGCCAAAAATGAAACTTTTAACATAGAATGTTTTTCAGAAATGGGTACAAAGAAAAATCTATTATATTGTATGTTTCAGAATGTTTATGTGAACCTTGTATTTAATTGAGAGTCCCATGTTTATTTTGCAGTCTTTTTGCTGCTTCTATTGTCTGAATTTCGTGTAGGACAGATGGGGCCATTGGGAGTTCTTCATAACATTTGTGTTAAAATAAAATGTTCTCTTCTATAGAAGCACCATTTTCTGTCAGGGAGTCCAAATCATGTTTGTGTTGATGATGTTACAGATCGTAGCTATGAACATAATTTGGGGGTTGTGGGCTTTATATTCAGCTTTCCTTCTTATAAGGTTTATGGGCAATAAGAGATTATTTTCTTCTATTGAGTGAGTGAGAAACAGTAAATGTGCTCAAGACGACTATTAAAAGGATCACTCGGTGAGCTGGGTCTGAGTTTTAAATGAGATCTTTCAAAGTTGGCTTGCACTGTAAAAGATACTACATAGTAATACGATACTGTTCTTTATTTTCTTGTCATGTTCCACCGATATGTTTGGAGTCTTAACTGTGTAAAAATGTCAAAACTGTAATGAGCAAACATGTGCACGCTATCATAAATTGAAGGTTTTACATAGGGCCACATTTTCAGTGAGGAAAAGCTGTTTGACAGATTGTATAGAAAGCCAAAACAGAAATATCATGGTGGTTCTGCCCCACGGGGCCAGGAGAGCCTAGGAAAGACACAGTGAGAAAGGCAAAGTGGTCTTTGCTGTCACTCACTCCACACTGTTTGAAGAAGGTTTCTAAGTCCGAGCACTTCCTTCTTTTTTGCCTTCAGATTTCATTCTTTATCAAATGAAAAGACTAATGATAAGCTATGGAAACAGAAATTTCTCGAGAAACCTGTTTCTCCTGACAGACAATAACCCTGCTCCTATACTTCTTCATTATGTTATAAAGGTTACAGGATCATATCCACTTTAATCTGGGATTTCTAAATTGCTTTAACAAATGCTAATCCTGAGAGTTTCCCTGCAGGAATCCAAAGAGAAAGTTTTGGGGACTTGGCAGAATCCTGCAGGGACATGGAATCAGAGCCATTGCGATGTATCCTCTTTTGCAGCATTGTAATCACTCCTAAGCTGCCTTCACAGTTTTAGTACACTAAGATGAGGAAATCAGAAAAGGTCAGAGAGAGCTCATACTGTAAAATTGAAGCCAGTGACACAGAATGTGTAAGTTTTGCCAAAACTCCTTTGATTTCTGTTCCAGGATTTTCCGTGGGAAAGGGATGATCTGGGAGGGCGGGAAAGACATTAGGAGTTGTCTTGCTCTTTTACCTTGGGAACTTGAGCCACCAGTGCAGTGCCCACCTAACTAGAATGTACACACACCAGCAGGACTGACTGACTACTCCATTAACTAGAGACACTGTACTCACTGGGGGCCTCGGGGGTACTGCGGTTCCTGTGTGGGTTTTTAATGTTGTAATGTATTGCATCTTAATGTATTGAATTCATTTTGTTGTACTATATTGGTTGGCATTTTATTAAAATAATTGTATTGTATCATATTTGTATGTTTTAAGAGAAAATAATATAAAATACAATATTTGTACTATTATATAGTGCAAAAACTACAAATCTGTGCCTCTGCCTCTTGAATTAATCATTTGGTCGCTTGCATTTGGGAAGGGGATGGAGAAAGGAAATACTCAATAAAGCTTTCGAAGTTCAAGAAATTCTTCTGTTTGGTCTGCTGCCTTATAATTCAGGTTACTCACAGCTGAGTCACGCAAACACACCCTCACAAACACATCAAGAAAAATACACACAAAATTAGACTAGCTCATCACCACCACACTCTATATTTGTGTAAAAATTTGTGATAAGACTGTAGACAAAATCACATCTTTTATTTATTGCTCCCAAACTACTATGCAAAATTCTTGGGTTTTAGAAAAGCTTCTTTCAAAAAAAAAAAAAAAAGGAAGGAAATTAGCTGGCCAGGCAAAAACTTTTGAATTAAAATCCAAAAGTGTAGAATCTAATCTTCTACTTTCCTGTATTCTAACAAATTTCAATTTATTATAGCATCTTACTAAAGACGAAATAGTAGGTGAACCATGAAAGGGAAAGGGAACAAAATGCAAATAAAAGCTTATGGTTGAGTTTAACTGTTTCTAAGATATCTGATATCTTAAATGTTGATGTGCATATGCAACAAAGGATAAAGTCAGCGAGTAACCACAGATCCTTTTCTTTCTTCACTAGATCAGGAAGCTCCATCCCTCCTGCGAAATCTCAGCGACCACACAGTGGCTGTCAGCAGTTCCACCACCTTGGACTGCCATGCAAGCGGCATCCCAGAGCCTCAGATAACCTGGTTTAAAAACAACCACCAAATACAACAAGAACCCGGTAAGAGACTTTTCCTTGCATTTGCGCGTTATCTTTCATTGTCCCCTTTCCCAACATTCCTGTCCCGCCCGTGTCCAACAGAGCCGGAACCATCTGCAGACACAGCTGCAAACACTGGGCTCTGGTTCCCGCTTGTAGCAACTTCACGTGGAGACTATTTGGGCCAGTCCTTATGCAGACCATATTTCTAACCCTCTAGAAAGGTCCTTACAGAATCGATTCAGCTGGAATGCTTTAAATAGTACATTCAGGAAGAAATGAAAAGAGCCACTTAGAAAATGGTTCAGGTCGCACTCCAGCCTGGGCGACCAGAGTAAGATTCCAACTCAAAAAAAAAGAAAAAAGAAAATGGTTCGGGTCACCGTGACTGCTGGGAAAGTGAGGAGCTGGTTTCTTGGTTTGAGGTATTGTAGCACTTTGAACACCTAGTGTTATGAAGTTCAGAAAAGTAGATTTAAAATCCTAAATTCACTACACCAACTTTAAGGATTTGGGGAAAGGAAGGCTATTTTAAATGATATTTTAGCATAACGATAAAGAGAAATCTAAACTAGTGGATATAGGTTTATTTTCTTTCAACAATTTGCAGCCTCATGTGAGAACTTGAAAATATCAAAACAAAAACAAGAAAACAGTAAATACAGTCATCCCTCGGTATCCGTGGGGGACTGATCCAGGACCGACTGCAGATTCCCAAATCCGCAGCTGCTCAAGTCTCTTCCATGAAGTTGCATAATATTTGTATTTACCCTGTGCACATCGTCTGTATACTTTAAATCATTACTTGTAATACTTAATACAAGGCTTACACATCATTTCATGTGAATTCAACACAGCATTTTGTGAGCAGTAAATTCTTTGCTTTTTGGAATACTGTGAATTTTTTTTTCCAAGTAGTTTTGATCCACAGTTAGTTGAATCCACAGCTGGGGAGCCTACAGGTGTGGAGGGCTGACTGTATTCTTAAAAACAACTAGACCCATAAATATAAACTTTATCTATTGCCTGCCTCATAATTGTGTGGTTAAGTAAGATTGAACTGAACTTCTTTATCATTTTGATTATATTTATATTAAAAATAAAATTGCCACTTTTTTGCAATATTATGACAACCTAATCACATAGATGGCAATATGGCTTAGTCCTTAAGTGTAAGTTCTCTACTCAAAGTGAAACCTGCATTTGAATCGAATGCCCAGAATGGGCTTGTTGCATGACAACTCCAAATTTTAAGATATCTACAAATGTTCTAGAAAAGCCTTACACTCAGCAGGTCCAAACCTTACATCATTTTTCTACACAAAGTAGCACCTCCTCTTATATGGACATCAAATCAGCCAAACTAGAAGATGATGACCCCCCATTTGCTCTCCTCCTCAAATCAGTCACCTGACTGAGCAGGTGAGATCTACTAAATGCTATTTCTCAAGTCCAATCCTTCCTCGGCCTTTCCTTATTCTCTGGTTCAGGCCCTCACTATCCGTCCTCCAAACATCCGTGGTTGTCTCCTCACGTGTCTCCCCGCCTCTCTTGACTCTTTACCTTTGTATTCCACCTGGCAGTATGCAATGCAGCTGTGAACATGCCCCTTCCCTGCTTCCCATCTCCCATGGCCCCCACCACACAGCTGGATGAAGTTCAAGCATCCGACGAGAAGGCCCCCAACCTTGGCCCCTGCCTGCGCCTACGGCTTAGCTCATTTCCCCTAATGGGAACTTGATAGTCCAGCAGTGCTAGCCTCTTGTCAGTCATGGCTCACGTTATGCTGCCACAGCACCCTGGGCTTTTTTGATCTTGTGTCTCCCCTGCCTTGCGCACATTTCCTTTCTTTTTTTGTGAGTTGAAGTCTCGCTCTGTCGCCCAGACTGGAGTGCAGTGGCCGCTCCCGGCCACCGCAGCCTCGACCTCCTGGGCTCCGGAGATCCTTCCGCCTCAGCCTTCCGAGTAGCTGGAATTACAGGCGTGCGTTAGCATACCCTGCTCACTTTTGATTTATTGTAGAGACGAGGTCTCGCCAAGTTGCCCAGGTGGGTCTCGAACCCGCAGGCTCAGGCCATCCACTCGCCTCGGCCTCCCAAAGTGCTGGGATGACAGGCTGAGCCACCGAGCCCAGCCCACATTTCCTTTCTTTATCTAATGCCTGCCCATCCCTTAAGACCCAGGTGGGGTGTCCTCCCTCCAGAAGGCCTAACTCAACTCCCACAAATAGGAGGCAGCCCACGAGTCTTCATTATTTCTGAATGTTTCTACCTCTCTCTTTCTGAGTTTTAAAATCATCAGTTCATGTGTGTCTTATAATCTGTGCATATGTCTACCACTCTTTTACTATATTGTTTTTTAGTCATCAATTGATATGCACCTCCTCTCCAGAGGGCAGAAGGTATCCTGTTTTATTTTTATCCTCAGAACTTAGCAGAGTGTTTGGCAATCGATACATGTTCCATGAATGAATCAATGAATAGTTTTCAGAAAACCACCGTATGCTGTCCTTAGCAAGTTCATTTGGTAACAGCACAAATGCCAGGATTTGGGATGGGGCTGGGGCCTAGATCATAGAATTTTTAAAGCTGAAGGGATCGTTGAAATATCTTTAGTCCAGCCAGGCTCCGTGGCTCAGCCTGTCATCCTACGCCTTGGGAGGCCGAGGTGAGTGGATTGCCTGAGCCCATGGGTTCGAGACCCGCCTGGGCAACTTAGCAAGACCTCATCTCTACAATAAATCAAAAATTAGCCGGGCGCGGTAGTGCACGCCTGTAGTTCCAGCTCCTTGGACGGCTGAGGTGGAAGGATCGCCGGAGCCCAGCAGGTCGAGGCTGTGGTGGTCGGGAGCGGCCACTGCACTCCAGTCTGGGCAACAGAGTGAGACTCCGTCTCAAAAAAAAAAAAAAGGAAATATCTTTAGTTCTGGCCAGGTGTGGCGTCTCAACCTGTAATCCCTGCACTTTGGGAGGCTGAGGCCAGAGGACTGCTTGAGCCCAGGGGTTCAAGGCCAGCCTAAACAACTTAGTGAGTCCTCGTCTCTATAATAAATCACACACAAAAACAAACAAACAAACAAAAAACTAACCAGGCATGGTGGCGTACATCTGTAGTTCTAGCTACTTGGAAGGCTGAGATGGAAGGATCGCCTAAACCCAACAAGTTGAGGCTGTGGTGGCTATGAGCATGCCACACCTCCCCAGCCTGGATGACAAGAGTGAGACTCCAACGCAAAAAAAAAAAAAAAAAAGCATGGTTGGGACCAGTGGTTCAGCCTGTAATTCCAGCACTTTGAGGCTAAGGCGAGAGGATCGCCTTTGCCTGGGGGTTCAAGACCAACCCGGGTAACTTGGTGAGACCTTGTCTCTACAATAAATCACAAAAACTAGCTGGGCATGGTGGCGTGTGTCTGTAGTTCCAGCTATTTGGGAGGCTGAGGCAGAAGGATCGCCTGAGCCCAGCAGGTGGAGGCTGCGGTGGCCGTGAGCGTGCCATTGCACTCCAGTCTGAGCAAGAAAGTGAGACTCCAACTCAAAAAAACAAAAAAGCACACAGGCAGTACACTCCCCTTAGGGATTTAGAGTTCATATTAGCATATTAAAGAGCCAAAGAAGAAACTTGTGGCTTTATTTTTATTTTTCTGAGTTGGAGTCTGACTCTTGTCACCCAGGCTGGGTGCAGCAGCACGCTCACGACCACCACAGCTTCCATCTGCTGGACTTACGCGATCCTGCTGCCTCAGCCTTCCAAGTAACTGGAACTACAGATGCACGCCACCACATCCGGCTAGTTTTTGTGATTTATTGCAGAGATGAGGTCTCACAAAGTTGCCCAGGCTGGTCTCGGACCCGTGGGCTCAGGCAATCCTCTCGCCTCGGCCTCCCGAAGCGCTGGGATGACAGACTGAGCCACCGTACCCGGCCTACCTGTGACTTTAAGTTCCTCAAACTTACTTGCTCACAAAATACATTTTATGAAAAATTAATGTAGGATGTTCGAGTGGTTACTTGAAAGAAGCAGATGTGACAGAAGTTCATCTTCATAATCTGGAAGAGGGTTGAAGGATCAGAGTTAAGACAACTGTGCAAGCTCATAACCATTATGGGACTAGTGGCTTGATGAGGCCAGAACACGTGCCAAGGCAGCCACCACAGACAGAGGACTGTGGTGTGCTGGGGAGATTAGAGCTTGAGTTGCTGGAGTCCCAGCCCTGCCTCGTGGGTTCTGGAAGAATTTAGTTGTCCTTATTCTCTGAGCTCTTATCTCCTTATTTATCACATTGGGATCATTGACCACACAGGGATGTGGTGAGGTATCAATGACGTAACTAACATAACTCAGCTGGCCCATAATCATGGCTTTGGAAATGCTATCTTCTGACCCACCTCACTGATACAGAAATTGTCCAGCGAGTTGTCAGAACTCATTGGAAGGTATCACAGTTATTGTCAGCTCAAATGTCAGACAACCCTAAAGCAAAATAATAAAGGTCCTCCCTCCTACCCTACCACCCAGCTTTCTTTGATTTTCTAAGGGCCTAAGGAAGAAACTCTGAAACAGGTCATATAAATTCTTATACAAAATCTTTTATGTATGAGGTAGTGTTCTGCTACTAGCATATGTTAAACTCATCTATGCTAAATCATCGTTTTAACTCTCCTTCTTGTCTCTGTATTCACTCTACAACAGCTTTTTTTTTTTGAGTTGGAGTCTTACTCTGTCACCCAGACTGGAGTGTAGAGGCACGCTCATGACCACCGCAGTCTCGACCTGCTGGGCTCAGGCGATCTTCCGCCTCAGCCTTCCAAGTAGCTGGAACTACAGGTGCACACCACCACGCCCGGCTAATTTTTTGATTTGTTGTAGAGGTGAGGTCTCACCAAGTTGCCCAGGCTGGTCTTGAACCCCTGAGCTCAGGCAATCCTCTTGTCTCAGCCTCCCAAAGTGCTGGGATTACAGGCATGAGCCACCAGGCCCAACCTTCCCAGGTGATTTATTTCTATTTATTTATTTTGTAGAGA